CTGATACTGATAACCTCCTGAAAACTACAAATCTGTAAACATAAAGTGCTGAGATCTTACCTGCTTACAGAACTTAATCAGAACCATGTACTGGTTCGGTGTAGAGTCCCGTATGATCTTCATGTGCTCCATGACATCATTAAAGGGTGCCAAAAGCTTCATGAGGTCATGGCTGGTCATGGTCGCAGGCACGGTGAGGATGCACACCATCGCGCTGCGTCGCACATCCTCCGTCAGTGACGTCATTTTACTGAAAGAAATTCACATCCAGTGTTAAGAGTTCAGATACTTACTGAGGCGGTAGATGATGAGTTTGTCAGCTGTTGTGACTCACTTGGTTTTGTAGAGGTGCATGATGCCGTGGATGATCTCCACTGAGGGGTTCCCGCTGAAGAAGGAGATCTGGTCTGGGAGCTGTTTGGATGGAGAGTCTGGAGCAGCTCCCGTCTTCTCACCGCTGTCCTGTGCACCGGCCTCGGTGACCTCCAAACTGTCTGCTTCAGTCTGTGCAGCCTGAGCCTGATCAGCTGAGCCACCAGACTCATCACCGCCACCTTTATCTGGAGTGAAGAGACAGAAGTGTCATGCATGCAGATAGTGGTGGGCGATGTAACGATATTAGATCGAGAAGGATTTTAACGTGCTGACGATCTGCCAAAGCAGGGAGATCGTCGAACCGGGCTCATGTGTTTCTTCTATCACGCTGCAGTTTATGCTCCGACACAGACGCGTCTCCCCTCCCCTTCTGCTCCGCCGCGGCGAAAACAAAAACGAAACTGAAGAGTAGTCCACAAAAACAACTCCATCCCGGTTATATGCAACTGTTCTGATATTTTCCAAACCGACACGCCGTGAGCAACAGTTAACTTCTCTGCATAGTGTGCACAGTTAAGTTTACATCTCGGATAGCGACACAAGAAACCGTTTAACGAGCCGGAGAGACGTTAACAGTCTGCAGAGAGTCAGACAGAGAGGAGCTCAGACAGACAGTGAGGGGAGATATAACCCCGGTGTTTCAAATGTTGCTGTCGGTGTTTTCTGCTCTCTCTCAGTTTTTAAAAGTTACTTATCAAGCCTCTCCACCTGAAGCTCACCTGTTGTGATAACTGAACTTATAGGGATTACACTAAACGACGTTACAAAGCAGCAGGCAGGTGAGAGTGAGTAACCATGGTGACTGTCTGTCTCTCAATCAACGATGTCCCGCCCCCTCTATGAATTAAACTCTTCTGTCAGTAAACTTACTTTGATCATGTTCACACAGAATGATATACTAAACTAAGTTATGTCCAAACTGAGTCATAAAAAACAACAAAGGCTGCAGAGCCTGAATGAAGCTCCAGCTGGAGGAACTCTGCAGGGCTAAAATAGAACAGAAACACAAGAACTCGAAGTCTACATGTTTTTAAATGAATGCATCACTGCGTGAAAATGTTCCTGATGAACATAAAAAGAGGACACATAACTAAATCATTATTTCAAAGTGGTGAGGAAAACCTTCAAATTGTGCATAAATATTGATCAAATTGAGGGAAAGACATTTCTGTTGCTAAAGATGTTCTGGGTGAGAGTAGGGCTGGGAAATATATCGATCTTTTTAAGATATATTGATATATTTTCAAACAAGATATGGGGTAAGACAATATGTTAATATGGATATAGTTTATGTTGCATTAAAATAACGTCACAGAGGTGCCAGGTCACCTTTTTCTCATCTCACTGATGATGACTGACTGTCTGTCCCTCTTCACCCTGCTCCTCCTCTCTCTCTCTTTTATTGTATTTAAGGAACATTTTAATTTTATTATATTACTTTTTAAATTCACAAACAGGTAGTTTATTTTCCATGTGTTTTCACCGCAAATACTTATCGATATATATCGAGTATCGCCATTCAGCTAAACAATATCAAGATATGAGATTTGGTCCATATCGCCCCAGCCGTAGGTGAGAGACCTCCAGACCTCCTACAAAAAATGTTTTTTCAAATAGATTAAACTTGTCAGCACAGTTTTTGTGCATTTAAAAACATTACACAGGGAAATAAGTTTTGGTTGAACTCATCAGTAACTTACAAATCTGTCTGAAGATCAGTATGAAAACACTTTACATGCAGACTTTGTTGTTGTGTTTAAATCTTTCTGAGACATGAAAAATGAAACACAGTATATAGATGATTGCTGTGCAGGTTTCATTGTGCATGCACTCACCTGCACTGAGCTCTTACTCTACATGCACTCACCTGGACTGAGCTCTTACTCTACATGCACTGAGCTCTTACTCTACATGCACTCACCTGCACTGAGCTCTTACTCTACATGCACTCACCTGGACTGAGCTCTTACTCTACATGCACTCACCTGCACTGAGCTCTTACTCTACATGCACTGAGCTCTTACTCTACATGCACTCACCTGGACTGGGCTCTTACTCTACATGCACTCACCTGCACTGAGCTCTTACTCTACATGCACTCACCTGGACTGAGCTCTTACTCTACATGCACTCACCTGGACTGAGCTCTTACTCTACATGGACTCACCTGCACTGAGCTCTTACTCTACATGCACTCACCTGGACTGAGCTCTTACTCTACATGCACTCACCTGGACTGAGCTCTTACTCTACATGGACTCACCTGGACTGGGCTCTTACTCTACATGCACTGAGCTCTTACTCTACATGCACTCACCTGGACTGGGCTCTTACTCTACATGCACTCACCTGGACTGAGCTCTTACTCTACATGCACTGAGCTCTTACTCTACATGCACTGAGCTCTTACTCTACATGCACTCACCTGGACTGGGCTCTTACTCTACATGCACTCACCTGCACTGAGCTCTTACTCTACATGCACTCACCTGGACTGAGCTCTTACTCTACATGGACTCACCTGCACTGAGCTCTTACTCTACCTGCACTGAGCTCTTACTCTACATGCACTCACCTGCACTGAGCTCTTACTCTACATGCACTCACCTGGACTGAGCTCAAAGGTTTCTATAACCATGTCTCCCATCGCTCTGCTGCCGATGTGCTGGTGCAGAACAGTCGCTCTTTCCAGTTCAGTCTTTCCACCCAGAGTGTGTTTGGCTACACCCAGAGCTTTCTCCTGCAGCTCCTCGTCTGACATGCCCTCAACTGAAGCACACACACACACACACACACAATGTTTCTTCATCTCACCAGCAGGAGGACAAAAACAAAATCACTCTGAGACGTTTTTTTTGTTGTTTTTTGTAACTCACCAGCTGAGTACTGGAAACCTTGTGGAGAAGGAGACTGGTCGGCTAGTTCCAGACGGATAACAACCAGAGACACACTCATGAGTTATCCAAGAAACGGCCACTCTTACAAAACAACAAAACAAACCCCCGGTGACAGCGAGCTAAAGCCAGCTAACACGTCCAACTACCCGGATGACGAGCAAGCCTATTGTTTCAGTGACGTCAAAACACCACCAGTGCATACGTCATACTCTTTCCTACCTTCCCCGACTATTAACACAAACATTACATTGATGTTTTAAAGCTAAAACACTGAAACTGTCCGAGACTCGGGCCAGCTATCCAGTCTCAGTGTTCACAGCTGTTTCTAGCATGTTGTTCTTCTTCGTGTGTAAAATGAAAGCAGGAATCAGTTGCCTGAGATGTGTCGCTGCCACCTTCAGTATTCATACAGGTACTGCATGCTGTTGTTTTCCAGCGTTGTGATACCAAACTTGGTTGATGTCCTGCATTTTAAAACGTTAACTGGAAAAAGGAATGTATGTAATTTGTAATTCACTGCTTTATAATTGTCTATTTATTTACTGAGTCACTGCACTTTAACTTTAACTGTCTATTTATTTATTTATTCGTTCATTCAGTCACTGCACAATAATAACTGTATATACTCTTTCACTGCACTATAACTTCACTTATTTGCACTATATCTCTATATTTATATTTGTTTAATTAATCTGTCACTGCAAAATAATAACTGTATATATTCTTTCAGTCACCACAACTGTCTATTTATTTATTATTATCATTCATTCACTGAACAGCAACTGCTCTGACCACTTTTTGCATACTTCTCTTTCATATCACCACAAATATATTTTTGTTGTTGTTGTTTTTGTAAACGCTGCTGTTGAAGATTGCTGCTAATTAAGTTTTGTTGTGTCCTTGTACACAATGATAATAAAGATTATATCTGTCTATCTATTTTCAACCAGATCTGAAGTATAAATGTCAAATTAGTTCTATAAATGACGTTTTTATTGTAATATTTTGGCTTCATTTGTTGTTTTTGGAACCAAACAGTTCTGGGGACTTTTTGAAGAGGAACTATCCACAAGGGAGTTCCCTGAGAACTACACACCATGGGGACTTTTTTTCTGTTTCCATTTGCACAACCATGGCTGATATGAACCTTAAAGTGACCGGCTGAAAGTTGCTAGAGCTTGTCTTGTGGTCTTGCAATAAAAGAAAAACAACACATTAACCAGGAATGCCTCCTAAATAAAATATGCTGCAGAGAGTTGCCCAGTTTCCAAGAGGCAAATGTTGACATTTTAATGTGTTTAGTGGCACCACAGGCTTTCAAACCCCAATACAAAACAAGCTTTTGTTAGTTGGACAAAGAATTATAAATGCTTTATTTGTATTTTAACTTGATGAATTATAAAGCTGGAGTTGCACAGATGTTTATATACTGTATGCTCAATTATTTTATTTATTTCTTTTATAATTTTTGGGCCTTTTTGCCTTTATTAGATAGGACAGCTGAAGAGAGACAGGAAATGTTGAGTGGAGAGAGAGGGGGACGACATGCAGCAAAGGACCGAGGACTACAGCCTCTGTTTATGGGGCCCTCGCGACATAACCGCTAGCCTGTCCAGCTCCCCAAATTCTCACTTACACAGAAAAGTATTAGTTGCAGAACATGGAAGTTTTTCGCTTCCACTCCAAAAGGGAGAATAAAGAGGTGAAGACATTTCACAACCAAAGTCACACATTTACATGTTTTTATTTTATTTTAAAAAAGCTTTGACATTCCAGTGTTTCTGTTTTCCATTTTCTAACAAAAGAGGGTTGTGAGATGACACTCCAGATTGTCAACCATTAATCTGAACCTCAACAACAACACAAACGTCGTCCCTGTGGGTCCATTCAAACAGAAAGGTGAATCGAGTCTTCAAAATAAAAAGAAAGAGAAAAGGCATTTATTATGATTATTATAAGCAGAAGTGTGTGTGTGGCTGTATACAAGACTAACAGGAAAGGGAAGGGGGGGACTCACCATTTATTCACATTTTCACATATTGCTGCCAAATTAATTAATAAAAAATAAAAAAGGTTAAACTGCACACTACCTGCAGCATCCATCAGTGCTCCTGTGTGATATTTGTAAACTAGGTTTGTTTCGTCTCTGCGTATAAGCTTCTTTATAACAGCAAAAGATGCTCGCCGCTTCAAACCTTCACTAAACGCGGTAGCTGGTGAGATTGTTGAGCGTGCCGTGGAGGTGCTCGGTCTAAAGCAGAAAATAAAACAAACAAGAACACAGGACAAATCTCATTATACCTACAGCAGCTGCTTTCAAAAACACACTACTTTCCTTTTACGCTGTACTGCAAAAAAAACGCTGCCTCAAGTTTATTTACAATCAGGTCCAAAGTTTTCTAATGAAAAAAAAAAAGAGGAGATTCATCCGCCAATCGAGGCTGAGGATTGAACTATTGTACGCCGAAACATGCACTTCAGCATCCGGCAAGTTGTACTCATTTTTGCATTTGTAGTTTTGTGTTTTCATACAGGAGTGTCTGTTAAAAAGTAGATTCATACCGAGGCTGCACATTCCATTTGTTCTATGAGCACTTCATCATTCAGTCTGTTATTTGTTTTAATTGAGAAAAAAAATGCTCGGAGTGATATCTTCGTATTGCTTTGTTTATCAAACAGACATGTGGAAAACCAAAAGATTCTTCTTTTACAATCAAACGAGACAAAGAAGAGCAGCAGGTCTGCAGCTTTAAGGAGCTGAAAGCTGAAAATTCTGGGAGATTTGAATTTTCTTTATGACTGACTTATGGATTGAGTAACCGCTCGTTATATACTACGAGCACTTCTTCACACTGCTTGAAATAAAACAATGTTTCTGGTGTCATTCAGTACTTGAAGGGGAAGTTGTTGGGTTTTCTTTTTAAACCAGGGCCATATTTGAACCTTTTTTTTGCCTTCTGAATGGAAAAGGGTTTTGGTACCTCTCCTGTGGATTTACTTCAGCCAGCAGTCATGAAACAGGCTGTAGTGACTTCAGCATAATCCTCTTGAAGTTCTTGTTTTTGCCAATTTAAGACTTTAATTTTTATTCTAAGTGTCTGACAACATTTTTAAAAAAGTACCCCGACAAAAACAGATCTTTTTGTTTGAGAAAATGTAGTTTCTTTTCTCTTTCCGTTAACATCCTTCTCTTCAAAGCCACCAGACTCCATTGACAAAAGCACTCATTTTAGCCGGCAGAGCACAGGAGCTGCTGCTCTGCTGCTGCCCCTCATCAGACTTTTACTGTGCTATTGTGTCACTTTCCTGTTTTAAATGGTCTGCTATGATCAAACAAAACATTAATGCAACCCATAATTACACCAAAAACGCTAAGCAATCAAGGAAACAATCAAGTGGACAAGCCACCGTGTTCCCCATGTACGGAGGCTGCTGTCCTCCAGGAAGACGGCCCAGGTTAGTCTCCGACCTCTGGCTCTTTCCTGCATGTGGTTCCCTGCTCTCTCTCCCTCCCTGGTTTATAACTCTGTCCACTGTCATATCTACAAATAAAGGCCCCAAAATAACAAAAAATTATGATCAAAAGCAACATTTGTGGCGGTGACAGTGGCCTAGTGGTTCGTTAAGGCAGCCTGGATTCGAGTCCAACCTGTGGATCCTTTTACCGCATGTCGTTTCCCACTATTTTCTGCCTGATTTCCAACATTATTCACGGTCCTGTTTCTCTAGTAATGGCACAAAAAAGCCCCCAAAATCTTTAAAAACTACACACACACACAAAGCATTTGTATAACGCAGAATAAAACATAATAAAAACCACTATGTACTCTGTGTGAGGTACAATTTCTGTTTTTTTTGTCAATGGAGTTTAACCTTTGAAGAGAGCAACTTGATGACGGTTTCTGGCTAGGAGAAAAAGCTCTCTCTCTGTACTGATGTCAGACAATTGAAATATCAATCGGAGCCCGTCAGTGGAAAAATAAAAGACGTTTTAGACGAGGCACTTCAATCAGGAACATTTGTAGCCCAGCTGAAGCAATCGACAGGAGCAGTTCAAGACTTATTGATCGACTACTCAGACCAAAACGTTTGTAAGGAAACACGGGGCCAAGCTGAAAAAAAAAAAAAAAATGCATGAATTCCCCTTTTTAACATGATTACCAATGATCGTTTGTGTGAGCCCAGTTTGATCTGGTTATTGTGTTGGAACAAACTGATTCCACAACAGACGGGGGGGTTTACAAACACCACTTCTACTAGAAATGAAAAAAAAGTAAAAAAAAAAAAAAAGAGAAAAACAAACAGCAGCAGATTATTCAAAATGTCCTTGTTATTAAACTCTTCCCACCACGGCTCTTTATAATACTGCAACTACAGGGGGCGGTTCCACATTCAGTACCAAAGCAACACACAAGATACATGAAGCAAAAAAAAAGACCAAAATAATGAATGAAGGAAACTTCAGTCTGCAGGCGTCCGTCTGTCCATCAGTTTGAAGTGAACTTGTGCCTGCTTGGAAAGAAACAGCTGGAAAAGATGCACATATCAAATTTCCCTCCTTAGTGTTAACAGTCCAGATGTTTGTGCCCGTGCATGTGTGTGTGTGTGTGTGTGTGTGTGTGAGATTGTCCTCAGAAAAAAAAGCAGAAACAGAACCAACAGAATAGTGGTATATTGTGACGTATATTCTCACTTAGTCCAAGGAGTTGCTCTTTACTTTGTACAATAATTTATTAGATAACTTCATCTAGAACTGCGTATTCATTCTGCCTAATTTGCTCTATTTAAATGTGTCATTATTAAAAATGAGGCGTGTCTCTTTTCCTCCCCTCCCATCGTTTTTGCGTATATCTGCTGTATAAATTCATGAGTTTACTTACAAGCTTCGTGTGCTATAAGAGTTGCAAATGTTCCAGAGGTGTTTGTTGAAGAAACTTAAAAAATAAAAAGAGAGAAAAAGAAGAACAGGCGGAGAGCGATCACGAACGCCGAGTGATGCCGGAGAGGAAGGAGGTCAGAAACGACTTGGGGAGGGGAGGGGGTTAGCTGGTGAGCTGACAGACTTGTGGAGCAGGGCGTTGAGGGGCAGATGGGGGTGTGTTTAGGGGGGGGGGTATAGTCGTCTTTATTTTGGGGGGGTGTGATGGTGTTCAGATCTTGAGGCTCTTTATAGTCTCTGCTCTCTTCTTGAGAAGATCTCCCACCTCCTGTAAAGAGCGCAGGTAACTGCTCTGCACCTTGTCCATAGCAGCCTTCATAAACGATGCTTCATCCTGGAACACACACAGACAGACACACACACACAGAGACAGAGACACACACACACACAGAGAGACAGACACACACAGAGCCACACACACACACAGAGCCACACACACAGAGAGACAGACACACACACACACACAGAGCCACACACACAGAGAGACAGACACACACACACACACACAGAGCCACACACACAGAGAGACAGACACACACACACACACACAGAGACACAGAGAGACAGACACACAGAGAGACAGAGACACACACACACACACACACAACAAAAATATGGTGAGGCTGCTGCTACCAAACGAGCCACAACATCAGCTTTTTGAAGCTACTATAAACACCAAAAAATAAAACTTTTCGAGCTGCATTTCACTCGCTGTTCAAAACATAAATGACTTTGAAAGCATCACAGACAGTGGGACTCGGGTGTTACACCCATTGTAGAAAATCTCAGATAAAACCTTTAGAGTTTTCAGAGTCCTATCTTCAGTTTGTTTACATCGCCCGGACGGCCGGCTGACTCCTCCCCTCGTGTATAAAAGTTGTTTAATTGAGGGACTAGAGAAAAGAAGAATAACATACTGTACTCACTGCTTAACTGTGTTTCTAGATCACGCTCATTTCAGGTAAATTTACATGCAGTGTGAAGATACCAGCATAATAAAGATCGCTAGCATTAGCATGCTAACACAACAATGCAGCACGAGTTGTTTTGGTTTCATGCTGGTGCTCAAGGGCGACATCTACTGGATCAAAAAAAATAATTGCATGTAAAGCCTTTAAAAAGGAAGAATGTGTATTATTTTACACACTGACCTGTGGGAATTCTTCCAAGCTTAAACTGGCCAGTTTAAGGGCTGTTATGCTCGTCTCCTGCTCCTTTATAAACTCCACACTCTGGGTGAGCAGGTCCTGCAAGCTCCCCGTCAGCTCCTGGAACCCGCACACCACCACCGGCTGCACGGGACGCAAAGAGAGTTTACCTATAAAGCTCTGATTCAAATGAAAGAATACTGTGTGAGAGTAGGATTGACGCCGTACCAGAGCTGTGTTTGCATCCTTTTTCTTCTTCTTCTTCTTCTGTAGACTAGTCTTCAGCGGTCGGAGGATCTTTGCACAGTTACTCGCCATCCACAAGGCTATGCACATTGTCTGAAATATATTTCAACGTTATAACTTCACCACCTAAGACACGGCACAGGTGCAAAATGTTCAGTGTTTGTGGAAGCAGACGTCTCACCTCAACAAAGAAGATTAGGTTTTCTAATAAGGAGGGCTCTGTTTTTAATTTGCCCTCTTTCATTTCCAATAAATCCCCTTTGCATTTATTCAGAATTTCTGTGGAGACAGAAAGAAGGAAACATGAAAACATCCCAAACTCAGAGACAAACCTTCAGCTTTACACACCCAGCTGCTTCCTCACCTTGAAGCTGAACTACTAAAGATTTGAAACTGTTACAGATCTGGTTTTGAAGCTCTGACGACTCATCTAAGAAGATAAAAAGAAACAAAAAAAGGACAGGTGAGTGTTGAAGGATTCTGGTGACAGACTTTTTGGATCTGCATTAGTTACTGCTGTGTGCTCTCACCTAATCCAACAGACTCCAGCTCCTGCAGGTGCACAGACAGCTGGAAGGCTGCAGCCTGACACTGACAGCTCCCACTGGACAGAGCTGAGGCCAGGCGGGTGGAGGGGGGTCCCAGGAATGGATACTGCAACAAAACACAGACATCAGCGCAGGAATATACTCCAGGATTTCAACAATAAGTCAGTCAAATATCCTCCTACATCTAGTAATTCATATTTGACAGATAAATTCAGAAGTTTAGAAACGTTTGGAAAGAAAATATCCCCAAAAAGATGAGCTAAGAAACTTTTATTTGAACATGATAGTCTAAGACTAATTTCTGAATTTGGATGCGATTTTCTGCTCTTAAACTTCTGTTTATATTGCAATTTTATAAGTTTGATCTTGTAGCATAAATTGTTGAGTCCAGTCTTTCTTAACCAGAACGTTCTTACAAAAAATGTCAGCCCAGATATCAGAATTTAAAAAATCTCCACAAATGTTTCAAGAGTGTCTTTTTCTGTGTCTATTTTTTGTTCTTTTGATATCAGTATCAACACATCTTTACTGCATTATTAAAAACACACGTACACACCTGTATGCGTTTTTCTGCCGACTCAGCGGCCGTCTGCAGCGTCTGGTTGAGTTGGGCGAGCAGGCTGCCGAGGATCGACGTCTTGTCTCCGACTCCGTTCTCGTTTGAAATCTGGGAGTTTTGCTGCGGTGTCGTGTGTCCCTGCGAGGCCAAAGAGGCGAGGAGGCGGAGTGTGAGAGAGCGTATCCTCAGCCAGACCGTCTCCTCCTCCAGAGACTGACGCCGGTGCTCCTCGGTTAACTGTCTGTTAAAGGGAACAGGCGCAACAGGAGTGTGAATTTATAAGATAAAAATGTAATCTTGTTTGTAAGCTTAGTGACAACTCCTATTTCAAAAAGGTTGGTGAGCCTGTCTTTCTTTACCTCTGTTAAAGTGATAAAAAGAAAATATCAAACCTGTCTTTAGGGTCCCAGCAGGTAAAAACAGTCAGGTCTCTGTTGTCCCTCATGTTGTCCCAGAGGATGTCGTCCTCCTCCGCAGACAGAGACATGGCCTTCACGCTCTCGTCCAGACTCAACACGCTGAAAGACGCACACACACGCAAACAAAGTCAACAACTAAAACAAGACTCCAACTCCCCATGAAAAGTTTCTATAATTCTTTGAAGTGTATTCTCACATGTCGGCCTCGAGGAACAGGTCCAGCAGCATCCTCTCAGTACGGACCTGAGCAAAGTGCAGCGATTGGTTCAGCCTGTTCCTGAGAGCAATGAACTCTGGGATTTTCTCGAACGCTCCGTACTTGTACGCCTGGATGATATACTCTGAGGTCTGGAGGGGAGAGACAATGAACATGTGAGCGCTGGGCTTTTTCGGGGTGTTTAAATCGATCCGATGTTGAAATCGCAGATCGGGGTGGACTTACATCTTTCTGGTTGGAGTGGAAAAACCTGAGGGAGAAGTTACAGGACTGGGAGGCTGCAGCGAACTGACCCAACGACTCGGCATAACGAGTCAACAGAAACCTGAAAATGGAAAAAAGATAAAACCCTTTTTAAAAACTCTGATTTGTACATTATTCTTGGTTTGTGAAAAATGTGTCATAAATCAGCTGATCAAAAACGTAAAGATCATCATCTCTGTACTGACCCGATGGTGTCGTGCTGAACATGCTTGGCGTCCAGGCTGGAGTAAAGGTCCACGACGGGCTCGAAGGCGCCCAGGTGACAGTAGAGGAGCAGCAGCAGCAGCTTGAACTGAGCGTTTGAGGCGCTGTGAGACAGACCCTCCTGCAGGACGCCGAGACCCTGCCACACCATGTTCTCATCCCCTAAAATAAAAAACACACACACAGAGTGACATGTGTTAGAAAATGTATGAGGGAAATATGAGAAACATCTGGAAAGAGAGACGGGAAACACTGACCGGTCTCCTTCCATAAGTCGACGTAAACATGAGCGGCCATGAGACAATACATGTCGGAGAACTGCAGCTCCGTCTTCAGCGCTGTCTTCCCTGTTTCAGACACACAGATCAACAAGTCAGAACAAAAAAAATCAAAACAACTAGCACCCTAAAATACAGACTATAAGCAGTCTGATTGAAGAGATCTCCCTGAGAGAAAAAAAAAGGTTTAAACCGTCGAACTGTGTGATGATTTCTATTGTGTTCAATGAAGTCTACAACGTGAAGTTTCTGTGCAGCTGTGTCGCTCTTTTAGTCCGTTTTCACTTTGTGGAGTTTGCTCTCCTACTAGCTACAGTACACAAGTTGAGCTCTAAGCCTGCAGTGAAAGTTGTGATGTACAGACCCCCCCCGTCCCTCAAGTCTCGCTGCCTAACCTCTGCTGGATGTTAAATGTCTTTCAATGCTCCTTATGTTCTGTTTTTAACTCTGTAAAGCACTTTGAATAACTCAGAAAGTCGCCTTCTTGTGCAGAAACAAATCAAGTTTTCCTTCATCTTGCAGAAAAAGAATTGTTGACGCTGTGTTCCTGTCAGTTCTGGATCACAGAGATGTCATCTATAGTGCAGCCTCTTGACGCGGTCTATCGCTCCGCCCTGACATTTATAACTGGTGATCGATTCGGCACTCATCACTGTGATCTGTATGAGCGGGGCGGTTGACCTCCTCTTGGTAAGACCCGCATCATGCATTGGTTTTTATATATTTTTCAAGGCTCTTATCGGAAAACTTTCACCTTACATCACAGACCTGTTTGAGTGGAATGCGGGCGCCTACATGACCCGTTCTTCTGATTGGTTTGTTCTTAAAGTCCCTCGAGCTTTCACTGAACTCGGTAAAAATGCATTTTCTTTGGATGCCCCAATTTCATGGAACGCCCTCCAGCAAACTCTAAGGATCGGAGTTCTTCCCTCTCTTGCAGACTTTAGCCTCTTTGTTTCTAATTTAAACTGTTTGTAATGGATCTCATGGGTTTTAAGTGCTTGTTTTAGTGTGCTTGTAATCTCGACGGCATTGGAACTGGAGGGAAACGTCAGTGTCCTTTGAGAATAAATAAAGGTGTGATTGATTGATATGAACGGTGCTTCATTAATAAGCTTGCTTTTCGACACCACTTTTTTCTTTTTCATCTGTGTTTTTTAAATTATTGATAGAAGTGTAAAATACCAAATACCAAACAAAATCTGATCTTCAGTCAGATTTGTATCCAAAAGCTGCTCTGATAAGAGTGTGAGCACTGTCTACGTTGCACAAATACATTGGTCAGGAATTGTGCAATTCACACATTGTGCAATTTGGTAATTAACAAATAAAAAAAGTGACCAATACTGGTTCTCTAGGAAGTGATAATGTTGAATTTTTACTTGAATTGTATGGACAATGAATCAATAAACACCTCTGAACAAAGGTTGATGCCTGCTGACCTTTTCACAAACTCTGAAACATTTAAAAGGTGATATCAATTTAGTAACATCTTAAAAAAGGACCACAAGCATCATGACTTAAGTTTCTCAAATGGTAAAAGTCCGTACTCTTCAAAGAAGCCATTGATGTCTCGTAATAAAATCCCCTAAACCTCTCCAATGTCTCTGATTTACTGCTGTGATGACGAGCAGTCCTTTCACAACGTGGTAAGAAGGCTTAACATGACATCACTAGGAAAATAAGGTGACTGTGAATTAGTGGTCAACTTGTTTTAAGAGCTGTATTCTACTAAGAAATGTGTCAATTAAATCAAACAGCCGAGTGTGATTTTAATAAGTTTTTCTGTTTGTGTTTGTTCAGTCGTACGTCAGCCTTCATGAGCCTCGTGTTTTACCAGGAAGTCACCCGTTTGACTTTTCTATGAAGCTTTGTTCACAGACGCTTTGAGCTGTCAGTTAACAAGATGAACGACTTTAGTAACGCTAGTGAGCTTAATGTTGGAGAAACACTCATTAGGATCAATCTGTAAGATATCTACTGAATGAAATGATAAAATGAGCTCACTATCTGATCAGACATTAAGGAAACATGCTATGTTGAAGTGCTGGCTTCTCTGACAACAATGCAGCAGCCAGTATGTCCTCCTTCTAACTTTAGATTCTGCTCCTGAATGCTCTGGATTTGTTTGGACCAGAGAAGGTTTGAAGGCACCCCCCACACGCTGTTTTGGACCCCTCGGTTTGCCAGATATGAGAGCAGTTATCAGGTCAACAGGTGTTGCAGAGATGGAAGCGGGTCAAGAGAAGTGGTTCAGATAGAAGTGATTATACCCGACCTAAAAAGCCTCTGCATGTTTCTAATAAGCTCCACGAGCAGAAACGTGCTCAAACTAGGATCAATATTGGAGATGCTTTTGAAAAATGGAGAGAGGTTAGAACACAGAAAGGTTTACAGACCCATGCAGAGCTGGATAAACACTGAAGCTTCAGAGTCCACCACATGGTGACCTGAGTGAGCATCCACTCTAGAGAGGAGGGGGGGGGAGACAGCTCTCTACAATGTTTAGAATTTGACTGCAGTACCCATTTTAAACAGTAGGTGTCAGAGTGACATTGCTCCTTTAACACTGTGTCTGGGCAGAACATAAGTTTGGGTGCAACCTGCAGGGAACACAAGCAGAGTGACACCAGCTGTCGTGCACAAGATAAACGTGCGGTCCTCGTCAAGCTACGCTACATTAGCTTTGCTCTGGCAGAGGGACCGAGCAGTGAAGTCAAGTCAGTGCCAAAACATGACACTTGATGCAGCATCAGTGAGCACTACACGTCCGAGTAATGACACCGCATCGTCCTTAATCGTTCCATCACTTTTTTTCAAACAGCAAGTCAAGAACTCTGAGCTCAAGACAGGACTCAAATTCAAAATAAATGCCTAGCGATCTTTAGCAGCCATCCTTGCATCTATATCACTCCACTGAACATTTGTATTATTTTGGATAAGTTGTAATTGGCCTCACTGGGACAGGGTGATATCTGTCTGAATGAAACTCGACAGATATATTTAAACTAGAGATAACTTGTTTAAAGCTGGTTCTTTAAATTGGATGAAAGAACTTGAGCTTGCAGTTTCATCTCATTCCACAGCGCAGAACTTCTCTGGTCATAATTTGGTCGCATTGCATCGACACATGGCTATAAATAAAAGTCACAAATATGTTCCACTTCGCACGAGGTGACAACATCATTTTACACCTCTTTGCTCGGCGTACCATCTCCTCACTCCGATTATCCTCGAAACAAAATATTCTGAGAAATGTTTTTAAAAGTCTTCTTACCAAACTTGAGGCCGTGACGATAGTGCGCCTTGAGCTCCGAGATGAGCTGCAGTTTTCCGTCCGCGTCGAGGGAGTGATGCAGGCCGAGCGCTCGACTCAGCTGACACACGCACAGATGTCTCTGGAGCGCTTTGGTGTCGTCTGGGAACGCGAACCCCTCGTCTCCCTGCTCGCCCAGAGGGACCGCTTCACTCAGACGGTTAATGAACTAAAAAAAAGAAGAAGTTTTTAAGAGCAACATATTTCCCTTTGCATGCGTCACATTGAAAATAAAGTAACTCTGTGTTACCTGAACGTGCTGATCAGGAGGCAGCAGGTGCAGGTATATTTTGAGGTCGGTGATGCAGCAGGGTTTGTCTCCAAACTTCCCAAAGAACTGCACCATCAGCTCTAAAGGATCACCTGTTTCAATATATATAAAAAAAAAACAAGTAAAGCATCCAGAGAAGAGTAAAAAAGAAAGAAGATCATGCAGAGGTTTATATCATTTGTTACCGAGCAGGCTTTCTTCAGGACATCCCCGCTCTCTCAGTCTGTGCATTAATTCAAGTCGAGCTAAATATGGTCCTCTGAGCGAGCGGGAATCTTTGCCGTCTTCCCCTTTAATTCTGTCCTCCACAAACCTCACGACTTCAGCCACGGTGTGATGAACTGAACCCTCCGAGCAGCTGCGGAGAGACAGATACGGATCAATGATGGTTTGGATTAAGTACATTTTCTCTTTTCTCTCTGTCCTCCAAAGTTCAGAGGTAGATAACAGATCAGCCCGACTAGAGCTCGCATCGCTTCAAGGACCCTCAGGAGGTTTTGTGTCACCCGGTTATTAAGAAAACTTGTCCATAATATAGAATTTATTTAGAAGCTACGTGTGTGTCTGGGGACTTTCATCAGGCAGTGGTGATGTGTTTTTCTTCAATATCTAAAAATAAAGAACCTCAGAAATTCCTCAAATTGCCACATGTATTTATCTCTTAACCAATAACTCCTCTACAAGTGGATGTGGGGGTGGGGTTCACAGAAGAAGGTTGGGAGAACTCACTCCATCAGCCACCTCAGGGTTTTGACTTTCTTATAAATCATCTTTTTGTAATCCTCAAAAATAAAGATCAGCATCCCTCATCAGCTGAGCTCAAACACACACACTCCAGTCAGTTTCCACTTCAACTAAAAACCTTTGTACTCACTGTTCTCCATCTTCAGGCGGGCTCCACGACTGATCGATCAGGTGGAAGAGAGAGTCAAAGTAGGAGGGGTAGAACTGCCAATCATCAGGACTGGAGACAGAAACATACAGGTTTGTAATCACTCATCTGCTTTTTTAGTAAATCCTCTCACTTCCACATAAGACCCAGTGTCCACCGAGCGTTCTCTCCGGGTAGAAAAGCGCTGACTGTGAGCTCGGGAGAATTTGAAGCATCAATGAAGCGTTTGTACGCTGAGAAGAAAAGCGCTGCAGGTCCGTCCTGTCTCTATGACAACAGTCTGTTGACATAGAGATGTTTTTTACCCCAGCAAAAAAAAAAGCACCGGTGACGTGAACAGCGCCTTTCCTGAAAGTTGAAAGATTTTTAAGTTCTCGGAGCGGCCACACAAAAAAGCAGAGCGCTCAGAAATGTAAGACGCTGGGCTCTGTGCTTATTCTCCAGGGGGCCGCTCTCTACTCATTGAAAACTACTGAAAAAAAGACGCTGTCAGTCAGAAAAGAAAACGTTAGGTGGACACGGGGACTAAATGATCTCCACTGACTTTTTGAGCAGCAGCTTGTGGGCTAAGGCGTTACACTCGGGCCAGCGCTGTAGTCTCTGGTAGAGCATCATACATTTGCTTTCTCGGCTCTGCAGCTCACTGGTCAGCTTCTCTGTGAGGGAAACACAAATATAAAAATCACATCAATCTCATACATATGTCAGACTGGAAGGAACGATCCCAAGTTTGTTGATCTTTCAGGCAGACCTACACAACAACATTGTTCAATAATGGGACATTAGTTATTACTCACAGTTTTTATGAGTAGCCCCTGTTCTTTAAAAATGTTTTATCAATACCTGTTTGCAGGATGTTTCCCCTGAATGCAAAATAAAAACAAAAGGCAGGTATTTCCCCCCCATGATTAAATTGGTACCAAACAATCTGAGGGTGTCTGATAGCCAGCTTAAGCTTCATCGGACGGCATCGACATGATTTGAAAGCATGAACATCACGGCCAGGTTTCCTTCCAACAGTTAACATTTCTGCATGCCGAGTGAGAAAGACTTCGCTTGTTTACAAAAATAATTTATCCTGATAAATTCAGACTTTAAGAGGAGAGAGTTTATTGCTCATATCGCAGTAATGATGAAACTGCGATTAATTATGCAGCCATACTCTCCGGCTTTAAAAAGGACACAAACACAAATGTACATACCCCCAAGTGGGCCCCTGATCACCTCAAGGGCCTCGACACATTTCCCCAAACGCTCCAGAATCATATAATACAACTGCACCTGCAGAAACACAGAGAAAGTAACAACTGTTAATAAAAGGACCTACAAAGTGCCCACTTCCTGTTTGTCTGGAGGTTAAGAGTTAGAGTCGATCCACTGTGTAATCCTGGATATGAGAAAATATTTTCTTCAGGAAATGATGTTTTAGAAAGTGAAGGTTGGATAGGGGTCGATGACTAATAATGTGTGTTTTCAAGTCACATAACGGTCTGATTTATAAATCTGAAAACGCATGAATAGTGAGTTTCTACATCTGTATCTATCGAGTGTCTTTTTGCAGTTTGTCATCTTGTGTGACACATTGTGCACTGCTGCAGGACGGGGATAAATTCCTGATGAGTGAAAAACAAGTTGAAATGCTCCCAGTTATCTGCGGAAACAGACCTCATCATCATGACAAGCTAACAAGAATTTCTGCTGTCAGAGATTCAGAGAGAAGCTCAAAACAAAATGATTGTGACAGCTTCAGCAGAAGTGAGAGGACAGAGAGTGAGCCGAGCACAGACGGGGGAATTTACATGTTGTGTTAACTGAGGCATTTCATGTTTCCCTTCAGTAAGTTTGAAGGGAACTAGTCTCACTAGTTCCCCTGACAGAATCAGTGAGTGTTTTTGTTTTTTTTACATCTGGACCAAAATACTTAATTTCCTACCTTTCTACATGTCTAAAATCGATTGAAAAACTTTGTCTTTCATACTGTAATTTAATTCTGTGTATCTATTCTGTCCACACAACATTTCAAGTCTCTGTGATTCCTGATGTATCTTCTACTTTTTTCTCCCCATTCAAGGACTATTTTAAGAATGTTTCCTTCTCCAAAACACAGAATTGAAATGAAGAGTGTTATACTGGCCTCTGTAATTAAACCTCCTTCACTTTAAACAATGCAGACCATCACTAAAACTACACATCACACCTCCAAAAAAACCCAGGAATCCAAAGCTAAATCCAAGTTTTTAAAAATGTGGTTTTCAAGACTTCTTTTCCACGTTTTGTTTGGATGTCCAACAGTTCTGCTGGTACTTGTAGTCAACTGAAGCAATTAAGTTCTTGCATTGCCTACACGTTCCATGATGCATTTCCCATAAACAGGTGCAGCATGTCTTTAGCTGTATTCTCTGTAGGTTGTTTACACCTTGTGTTAACATCTGTCCTCCTGGTTGATCTGATAACAAGTGGATTACCTAAATGCTAGATGAGAATCACAGCAAAGTGTCTAGAGGATGGATTAATCTCCCAGCCCATAGATCTAAAAAGATCTCTGCTGATATATCGGTATCTGATTTTTATCCCCTCTCCATTATCGATTTCCGTATCTGCCCTAAAAATCGATCAGTCGGGCCCTGATCCAAACAGAGTTTCTCCCTGCACAGCAACTATGTCAAATGAAGGCGCTGACGACCAAAACACGCTTCAGAGAAAATGTGCAACAAACAAGGTGAAGATATGGATGATAAACTGTCTACACTCCCTTCAACTAACATAAAACCTGCAGACTCTCTTACCTCTGCTTCAGCTTCAATCTTCTCCTCTTTGACCATTTTCTCCACCATGCGTTCAGCGAGAGGCAGGAACATAGTTTGGGCCAGTTTTTCATCTTGTGCTGAGATGGCCTGAACGAAAAAAACAACAAGGCACAGGAGTTATTATCAGAATCATTACAGACAATATACAGACTGTGTTGTCAAAGAATATCCTGCCCACACCTGCATCACCAGACTCATGACAGACCAGAAATAATACGGGTTCTTGGGGACGATTTTATACAAGGCCATTCCTGCCTGTGAGAAGGAAAAGATGCATTTATCAACATCCTCTTCATTGTTATGATTATGTATCCTTTATGGAGCAAGCTGTTTGGATGTTCATATTTGACTCACCTGCTGCATCTTCTTGTACTCTCCGACGCGAGCGTATGCCATGAAGAGGTGAGAGTGATACTCCTCGCTGAGAGGAACCTTCTTCACTGCAGCTTCATAGAGCTTAGTGACCAGCTCGGCTGCAAACAACACACACACACAAAATGATCAGGCATGCAGTTATATTAAGGTTTTCACACAGCCTTTATGTGTGAGTGTGTGAGTGTGTGTACTCACGACGATGCATCTCTCTGTACAGTATAGTCAGAGCCTGTAGCGAGTTGTCATCAGTGGGCTCAAGAGTGGCCACCTCCTGCGCCAGAGTGAACGCCTCATCCTGCTTCCCGGTCCTCTGGAGACCGATGGCCTTGAGGACCTGAGAGGAGACGGGAGATCATGAATGATGAGCTAAGGATGAAAACAAGAATACAAAAAGAGAACCGTACTAGAAAATGAAATTCGCACACATTTTGCAGCCAAGTCGACGTCTGGAGGAGAACTTTTCACAGCTACACCGAGTGTGAATTTGGTTTTGACATCCGATTATTTAAAGCATTTTTTATTAACAGGTTTTTTTCATTACAAGTTGCTCACAGATACAGACACGACAGCCTCATATGAAATACTTAGAAGAGTTTCTCTCTTTGTTTTTTTTGGGCAGCGTCTACAAACAATGTCATCTTTTAAAGGGGACATATTATGAAAAATCCACTTCTTCAGTGTTTCTGAACATATATCGGGGTCACCTGAGTGTCTACTGACCCACAAAAATGTGAAATAAATCCATCCAACTTTGTTTGTGGTCTGCATAAGTCTTACAACACAGGGGAAAATGCTCTGTTTCAAATGTGCTCTCCTTGTGACATCACAGTGGGATTCTGGTAAAACAATCTCCTCCCCTCCCCTGGTATCTCCACCCATGGACTCCACCCCCAGCCTAGAGCTAAACTTTTGCGCAGGTCCACCATTTTTATTCTCGCTACAGAGGAGTGATGTCTATGGGAAAACTCAGGGGGCGGGGCTCATTACATTTAAAGAGACACACACACCAAAACGGAGCGTTCTGAGAGAGCTGGTTTATACAGGGTCACAAACCTCCTCTGGTGCTTGATTCATGTTATATTTTGACCAAAGCACAGCACAGATGTTTCATTTAGACCACAGGGGACTGTTTGAAAAGGTGGAGGAGAGGGGGATAATATGTCCTTTTTCCTGAAATATACTGTAATATTATATTATGGAGTGATGCAGAAGATGAGAAACTCTCCATAGCGCAAGTGTGTCAAGAGCTAAATCAGTGCAGTTGTAAGTGTTTGGTATGCAGAGGTTCCTAAGGGATGCCAACAATAGAAAAAGGCTGCACAAACACAAACAACACTCGGAGAGAAAATAGTTCCTTAGTCACCCACCTTGGCACAGTGCAGGTCCTTATGTTTCTTCAGCAGTTTGTCCGCCTGCTGTATTGCCATTTTATTGTTGCCATTATCGAGATAATCTGGGGGAAACAGGGAGGGGGGGACAACGTTATTGCAGTGATGACGGGGATTTTAAAAAAGGTGACATGCAGTCTTCATAGTTTAGGGTTATTTCCCACCACAGAAACTTTCCCAGGGGAATGAAATGCTTTGGAAGTACTCAGTGTTTTCACCGCAAGGACTAAGGTCTAATTTATGTCCCATGGCTGAAATTAAGGGGTTGTGCTTGCAGCCCTTAACATTTCTGATCCAGTTGAGTTCTTGGAGCATTTTATTTTAGCCACCTTTTTTTCTGCAGCTGAGAAAGCTGTATATTTGGCGCTGCAGAGGGATTTCATTTCCTTAATGATTACTTTAGTTGCACTCAATGCTGACTGACTGTGGATTCATAAAATATATTTGTTGTAGTGAAGTAGCACACACAAATAAGAAGTAGAAACAACCATTGTTCTCGAGTTTGCTTAAATCTTGTTGGTCTCTGAACAGAGATGGTAACAGCGATATCAAAGGGCTGAGGGAACATTTTAGTTCCATTAAATGTAATTCCTGGGAATCATTTGGATTTTTAGTACAATAAACCAGTAGTTTTAGCAAACATGACCATATTACTAGATACTTTATATGGTAAAAACTTGCAAAGTCAAAAATTCACAAACACTTCTATTATAAAATTATAATAATGAATTTTGAAGCAAAATACCAAATATGCAACAACAAGGTCAACAAAGTCATCTGCTTTTCTCAAACAGTAAACTAACAGATGGCATTTAGACCGATAGACAGCCACAAAAAAACACAAAGTGAAGATATTAAATTGGTCTTCATGCAGTTGTTTCAAAGACCAGACCAGAACGGGTTATGTTTCCGTTTTTAACTATCAAAACAATCACATCACAACTATTTTAATAACTTATTAAGGAAAGAAGAATCACATTTCACTTCAAAATGTGAATATTTTTTGGTTTCTTTCTTTCTATACGACTTGAAGACATTATCCTGGTCTTATGCCATATGTCTAAATGTTTATACTTATATAATTCTTGTTTCCACATGTTTTAAAACGACAAATGTCCAATATTGTAATAGTATTGAAAAGTAAAAAAAGCTTAAAAAGAACTACACATCTTCAGTCATACCTTTAACCAAAATCTGTGGTGAGCCAAACAGTTGCACAAACACGTTGGCACAGTTCGATACTGAGACATTGTCGGCGTCTTTGTGCAATAACGCCTGACAGAATACACGAGTTTGGCTGCAACTTTTGAGTTTAAAAAAACAAAACTATTTGGTGATAATTCCCATTAAAAGTTAATTGGGGCAGATTTTGGTGTGTCTTCCTCTGTCAATAAAAATGTAAGCCAATCTTGTCTGTTTGTTGCCATGGTAACAAGCAGATATTAATGTCATTGAATTTTTACTCATATCTAAGTTTAAATGTCTGGTGTTGTAATAATCCTTCATTGGTCAACCTTTTCTTTTCTTTTGCAGAGCACACAACAGGTTCATACATTAAGCAGGTCGTAGACAGATTTATTAAACATGACATCATTGTTATTTACAGCCTTACTATCTTTTCAGGGTGGCTGGTAGATATTTGAAGTACATGCAGTCACAAACAGAGACACCTCAGTGTTCAGCCTCTTCAGGACAGCTGGATGCCAAAATTAACTGTGCCAGACGGTGCACTGTGGTTATGTCATGTCTATTCTCTCTGTTCATACTGTTATCACAGGGAAAAAAACCAAACGACGACCAAACCCAGACAGAAACCAAAAGGAACAATTGACACAAACAATGATCCATCCAAGAGGTTTAAAGCTTTTGTTTCGTGCTGCCAAAACAGAGAAGCTCTGAAGCTACAATGTTATAAGATAAAAAGGGAAAACTACAATAGCTTAGCGCTTTAAAAACTAAATTTTGTTGTCACATCAGTAACCCAACCAGGAAGAGCCCCTGCTTGGGGTGGGGAAAACACGATTATATTACGATTAGTACAATGCTTACAGTTTTAAAGGTGCACTATGGAGCTTTGGTAGAGAAATGTGAAAGTTGGAGAACAGATTCGGTGATATATGATCAGAACTCTATATCCAAAATGTCCTCAGAGGAAAATATAGTCCCCGTTAACACTGTTTGAAGATAAAATACTAAGTGAGAATTCAATTCAAAAAAAACTTTATTTGTCCCCGGAGGGCACACAGAGCAGTAAATTAACAACAGCGCAGGTAGACAAAACATTTTAACCTAAATATAAAGTGTCAATTTAAATACAACTTAAAGCTTAAACTTAAAAATACAAACTATAAAAAGAGTAGATGTAAGTGGACAGTGATCGGACTAACAGATGTAAACAGAACTATGTGCAGTAAACACCGTGCCACCCTCACCACACATACTGTGCAATATGTATTTTATATTTCTGCAATATTTTACATTTCATACTGTGCAATATGTATTTTATATTTCTGCAATATCTATTTATATTCTGTTAGGCTACTACCTGTAAATAACTCCTACCTACATTGCCCATCTTACCTGAATGAGAGTTCCTTTTTTTTTTTTAATTTTCTTCTCTTGTTGTTTTTAGCTGTGGATGTTTGTATGTGTGTGCACTTTAAAGGTGAAGCCAAATAATTTTGTTGTACAATCGTATAATGACAATAAAGACATTCTGTTCTATTCTAAACGAGAAATAAATATATATTATATACATACACAGAGCTGTGTGCAAGTAGGCAAATATTAAATGATAAGTTATTAAGGTGCATGGTGAATAATGGAACAACAGAACTAATATAAACAATATAACTGTAAAGAAGAGATAAATAAAGTGACTGTAGTGTGATGATGGATAAGAAACAACAGGAATAAAGTACCCAGAAGTGTATGAATACTGAAATAAAAAGGATAGAATAAAGTGAAGTTATGGTGAGGGGCTGACACAGTGAAACCCCTAACTCTCAGAGAGCCTTTATGTCCTTTTAATAAAGTTTGTGGTGTTTAATCCAAAAAAATATAGAATATAATTCTTGCATTTCTCCAACTTTCACAACCAAATCTACATAATGCACCTTTAAAATAATCAGAATTATTAATGAATGTCCAGTGTTGTTGTATGGTATCATAACTGATGCATAACTAAGTGAACATGAATTGTTTTTAAGTTATTCAGCAGCACACAGTTCAGCTCTGTGACAGCTCCACTGTAGCTCCCCATGCTAACTAGCTGCTGGAGTTAGCATGAAGCATTGTCCTTACACTATGATGCTAGCTTCGAGGCTAACCGTGATAAATACAGACCGGGGTAAGGGGTTCAAACCGTCTTATCACAACCCAATCAACGTATCGCCCCTTGACGAAACACATTCAACACATTTCAACAACTTTCCTTCAAAGCGTGTGCACAAGTTGAAGCATGCCCCCCCCATTGACTTGACATGCTAGTTAGCATGTTAGCTAGCTGTCAAATATCGACCGTGAGACAGAGGAGAGGAGAAAGAGCTTCGACTTTGAGACTGAGACAAAAACCCAACAACAGTCCGCATCACTCAACGCCTCAACCACCATGTAGACCGTGCAGAGGTTTTCACATCCTGCCCCCAAACCATTCAGAGACCCATGCAAGTAGCGTCCCAACCCGGCTTGGTGACCGGGTAAGGTGCACTGTCATTGGGCGCTGCAGGCAGCAGAGTCCGTGGTTGAAGCTGGAGGGGCCGCATCTCTGCCCCTCTCCCCCCCCTCCCTCTCCTCTCCCTCTCCCCCCTTACATCTAATTCTTTAAACACATGCACTCGTATGGAGCACAGCAATGCTCACAACACACACAAACATAACAATCTAAACGGAGTCGTACCGTAAATAGGTCTGAGTCTCCTGTCGTTGGGATCCTGCACATGGCCTCTCGCCGCCATGGTTGAGTTTACCTGCTGGGTAAATGTCCACGCATGCGCATTGCGAGCTGCTTCGAGGAGCGATTAAAGGATTTTTTTTTTTTTTTTTTTTTTTTGTCTTTGTGCAAGCGCAGCAAACAGGCTGTCATTATCTGTCCGTGGGATTTAAAGGATGCATGAATTATGTAGACCAGAGTACAACACACAGCCATGTTAGTGCACGGAAGAGGATTAGGGCCAGACATGAGAAAAAAATAAAGTTTTGTTTTCATTATGCTCTTCGAGAATTAATAGATTTTGGTGACATGTTGACTTATTTTCTTGATATTTCAGCTTAATTCCTGACATGTTTTCTCAACATTTCATCTTTATTCTTGTCATCTCTTTTGACATTTCGCCTTTTTTTTCATTATGCACTTTGAGAATTACACAGAAATGTCGAGAACACAATTTAAATATTAAATTCGAGAATTAAATAGAGATTTTGGTGACATGTTGATTTATTTTCTTGATATTTCAACTTAATTCCTGACATGTTTTCTCACCATTTCATCTTTATTCTTGACATCTCTTGACATTTCACCTTTTTTGTTTTCATTATGCACTTCGAGAATTACACAGAAATGTCGAGAACACAATTTAAATATCATTTTGAGAATTAAGATGAGATTTTGGTGACATGTTGATTTATTTTCTTGATATTTCAGCTTAATTCCTGACATGTTTTCTCACCATTTTATCTTTATTCTTGTCATCTCTTTTGACATTTAGCCTTTTTTGCTCGATATATAATTTTTAAAATCCTACATGTCAACTTTTTCTCGACATTTGACATTTAGATTGTTTTCTTAATATTTTGACTTCGAAATTATATTTCATCTTTATTCCCAAAATGTCTTATTTTTTTCTCGACATTTCTACTTATTTTCCGCTGCATTTCGACTTTTTCTTGAAGTACAAAATGGAAACAAAAATCATCCTCCTGTCATTATTTCTCTCGTATGTCCCTAATCCTCTTCCGTAGCCCTTTTAGTGTAATGAAACTCTCCAAATATTAAACACTCTTGATTTTAACACTTGTTTTTCTTCACACTGAGTCCAATAACCTTATCAAAAATCTTTACACTTATCTTTAATCTTTAAAATCCTTTATTAAGAAAGATAAGATAAGATAATCCTTTATTTATCCCACAACGGGGAAATTTACAGTGTTACAGCAGCAAAGAGCAAAGATTGCAAACAGAAAGTGAACACAGTACAATTTAAATAAAAAAAAAGAAAAATTAAGAATGTAAATAAAAATAGATAAATACTAAAAAATAGATTTAAAAAAATGAAAAATAAAAAATAGATCAGCTGAGCTGCAAAAAGTGCTGCAAAAAGTGACGGAATGTAACACAATGACATTTTATTTCCGGTTTTTTAATCATTTTATTGATTAGCTTTAAAGAACTGCATCTATAATAAATTGTTTATGTATTTTGGTTCTTGTTATTTGTACTATATGCATCTGGTCATATGGATTTTCTTCAATCCTAACACAAATATTTCCCTTCAAGTTTACAAAACTTCTGTAGCAGGTTTAATTTTAAATCCAATTTATTACAAATTAAAATATTGTAAAATACCCCAAGTTATTCCTATACTGTCTATTCCTACCTGCTAATATATCATGTTTCATTTCTAGGGTTGGCTTAGTGACAATGTTTATCTATCCAAGTAGAGAAGATTCCCCACCAATACAACTCAAAGTAAACTATTAAAACTTTGAATCCACTACATAGAGTTGTCAGATTCAGTGACTTAATCAGCAACTATTTGGTTTGATGGAAATACAAAATCAACCAAAAATGAAAGTATTAGAATTGATAAAATATATAAAGTGGTTAAATTAACCCTCCTTCACCAGGTCCAACAGGTACTTATCTTACATTTGAATGTATTTCACAGTGAAGTTATTCCCAAATGGGTCATCCTGCATAAAGGCTTCTTCTTTTTTGACCCCAAGGTGTTTATTGATGTTTGTGTACTGTTACTTTAAATGCAGGATTTTCTACATTGTTATTGCTTCTTTTATGCCAGATAAACATCCACGCCCTCTTCCAATGCCAACTGTATGAGTGTGTAAATATTTCAGTGTTTGCAATCAATTCATGGGAAATGATTTACCTGCATACGATGTCTTGTTGACATCGAAGATGTGGTGTGAGGTAAGGTGTTGAAGGTTTTAAAAGCCCAAAACAAAAAGTAAATGTTCACCCTGAGAGAAACATTCAAAACACTCAAAGAAAAACAAACGGCACGTCGATTCTCTTATTTGTTCAAATTTATTAGATATTCTGTTATGTTCCATTGTCTAGACCTTCTGCCACAGCGTGGACGCCGTGAAAAAGAAAACAAAAGAGGAACTAATTGTAATACATTCACGACTAATTCCCCTGAATTTTGCCTTATCAGAAAAAAAAAAAAAGAGAAACTTGAATACATTGTGAATCTTTGTCTTCCAAAAACAACAAAAGAAAACAAAACATAAAAGAAAGAAAACAGTAGATTTTGCAAGTGCTTATTCATGATTACATTAAAGAAAAAAAAAACAGTATTTTGGACTCCATCTGTTCCCTAAGCTTCTACCCCTCCCCCTCACAGTCATCCCTGGTAATGCTACAAAACCGAACATCACACAGTCTACTCTAGTCTACAGGCCGGGGCCGCTTGTCACCATCAAACTCAGACAGGCTTTTCACTCCTCGTCAGGAGCCCGAGGTCGAGCTGAACTCAGTTTGATTTTGAGGAGAGGTCGACCTTTAAAAAGGAATTCCCTTCTTGTCTGATGCAGTTCGAGAGCGTCTCAAAACGCACCGATCCAACGGAGGAAAAAAGAAAAGAAAAGAAAAAAAAAAAATCAAGAAAAAAGAAAAGGTAACGAAAAATAGAAAAAGTGTAGAGCATGCAGATCTGAATTTTACAGAGATTATCGGGACCAGGCGTCAGCAGAAGAAAACACAGGATTTTTAATGAATTCTTATTTTGCATCCAGAGGAGGAAGTTGAGTTTTTATAAGTAGTTCCAGTTATGAGATAAAAAAAGATCAGAGAAAGGACCTTTTTGAATAAGACAATTTAAGTGTTTTGAAGTTTAGCTTTTAAAGCAAGTGTCAGAAATAACATGAAATAGAATCAGACTGTTGTTGTTAAATTATTTGAGCATTTAGAAAGAAGAAAATGTCACAACAATTATGTTCAACTTTGAATATAGAGAGCATGTCGGACAAGAATTGAAGCGAGGATTATGATTTTTTTAGCCATCTTAATTTAAAAGGTCATTATTTCAGTTTTCTTCTCATAATTTCATAAAATGCCCCAAAAAAGGTCCTCTGATTTTTTTTTTTTGGTTGTTTTTCTGGCACTTGAATTGAAAGTTTTAACTTAATACTTAACATTTCAACTTTTAGTTACATTTTCATGAAGTCTTAAAAATTCAGAAAGAATTTCTTGATTGATTTCCTGAAGTAAACAATGGAATTTCCTTTCCTTAATAATTTGCCTTTTTTTCTCCTCAATGCAAGAAATAAAACTTTCCTTTTAATTCTACACCTTCAGTTCATTCCAAACATCTCAACATTATTCCCCTCAATGCAAAATAAAAACCTTCCTCCCTGTGATTTTTCACACCCTTATGCTTGGTCCCAAATCCTCTTCTGTAGAATCCAGACTTGTTCGAGTGAATCTCTCTTCATGTACTGACGACTAACAGGCCCACGTCATGCTTGTACAGGTGTGAAACATGTCCGCACAGAAACATCCTGCAAAGACCGACACCTCCTGTCTGCCTATCTGTACATTCATAAAGCATGGATGAGGTACAGTTTAACCATGGTTTTTTAGTGACGACAACACGTGGAAAGCACACTGCTCACCGTCTGCAGAGCTGACATCACTGCTCTGAAAACTTTATAACTTATTTTAAGTTAGCAGTACAGTATTGAATAATCGACCTGACGATGTAGTAGTAGCTGTGAACATCCCATTCAAGTCAGTGTTTTTGTATGTACAGTTTGTCCATTTCTATAATGGGCCTATTAAAAAGTACACTTAGAACTCTCTTTAAAACCTGTCTGACATTAAACCACGCATAGATAGGTTACGACGAAACCTACACACTCATACCTGATCCAAAAAAAACAACAAAGCTGTGTAACTGCACTAAGCTACGCCATGATCATAAAAAACACCACAAATATCTTTACCTAAAGCCCGACCGGATCTGCATTATGCTCAAAAATGATGTCAGCCGTGATAGATCGCAACAACCCTTGAAACGAAGCAGACGAAAACAAAGGGAAAAAAAGGGGGCGGGGGGGATAAGATGCCACCAGGCTTGAAGCACACCACCCGACGCCAATCTGAACCGTACAAGTCTGTTTTTCTCTTCGCTAAAAAGCCGTTTCGTCCTCTCTAAAAAAAACAGTCAAGAAAACCTCAATTTATATTTACTTATGGGTTCAAACTTTTTAAAACAAACTAAGACTACACACCCAGAATGCTTGTCAACTTTTGCCTGGACCCCTGTGCTCTGAGAGAAGAAGCTGTAGTTTGAGATATATTTTTAAAAAACGACGTTGATTCATGTTTGCAGCGACGCACACACACTCATCCTCATTTGTTTAAAAAAAAAAAAAGCTTCAGCGGAGGCCGTCCAGTGAAAGCCCTAGCAAGAGGAGAAAAAGGACATGCAGCGACAGCATGAGGCACGCTCGACTGGAAGCCTCGAGTTAATATGAACGTTTTTTCCATCTCGGTCTCAAAAAAAAAAAAAAAGCGACAGTCCTCGAAGGCAGTTTGATGACGCAAACGAGCACACAGATGCACACGCTAACACACACAGGTGTATTGTACAGACTCTCCTAAGAGGGGCGCCAACGAGCTCTCTATGATCAACACAAACAATCCACTTGAGCAAAAGCTGCATTGCACGGACTGCACGCATGCAATGACAGTTTGAAGTGAGGAGTCGCTGTTGATATCACATGCACGTGTGATGAGAGA